CATCAAATATATTTATATCGAAAGTCATAAAATATGTAAATTGCAATTATATACACAATACTAACTCCTTTAACACTTTTCTTCAATTTATCGTCGATAAATAATGAGAGATATTCTGGGCTTTTAGGATTTAAATTAAAGAAATATTCAAAATCCGATGCTATCGTCTGTTTGTAATTCTTGTCATTATTGAAAGAATAATGTAGAAAATGATCAAAACGATCCTTTAGATCTAACAGATTTTGGACGTAAAGAACGGCATTTGTGGTTGATTCATGCTTTTCTTGCACTAACGCACGGCCCTGTTCTCTAAGAAATTGAGATACACAGTCGCAAACAGTGCGCAATCCATCTGTCACTCTCGAAAATAGTTTATACATACAACCAAGATCTTCTGTTTTCTGATTTTTGAGCATATGCACTACACCACTGTTTTTCATCTATCAAGTACAAAGAAATATTATAATTGATATTTAACATCACAATATAGAATTTAAACTTATTTATATCATAAGTTAATATAATGCGGATCATAAATAAAATAAATTAATGTACCTCAACAATGGTTTTCATATGTATTTTGATTAATTCTTCTTCTACAACTTCTACTATCCGTGATTCAGTAGATTTATCTAAATAGCGTTTTGCTCTTTCAGATTCTTCACAAATTCTAGCTTCAACTTTTTTTATGTATATTATTTTCTGCCAGAAATTTTTGAGATTCGACCTAGAGAAAATAATTTTGGAAGTTATATATATGTGCACGTAAGTATATCAAACACACCTCTTATTAGACACGCACTCTATAAAACTCAGCACTCTGTTGTAAAAAAGGCCTTTCAAAATCTTCTTCATAAATTTGGCGATTTTTAATTCCAAGTAACATTAACATTTGGCAGGCATTTTTTATAGCGCTACAATCTACAAGTTCTCCTCTTCTTTCTCTTGCGACCATACCTAATAACGTTTCCCGTAAATGATCTCTAACACATCCATATCTGACCACCTAGAATTAACAAAAAACTTGTTAACATTAAACATATTTAACAATCACTCATTATATACATAAATCAATGGTTATATCAATTTAAAGTTACAAAATCAATCATATAAAAAATTGTTTATTGTAATAAAATAGATACAGTATAAATTAGAACATTAAAAAATTACCTGATCACGAAAAATAATTAATCCAAGATTATACACAGTGTCTACATCATTCGGTTTAACATACACTCTGTCCATGTACATAAAAATGCCACTGATCTTCACCATTGACGTTTGGTGATCATTCCATGCTAAATTTAAAGTTTGTAGTAAGTTGTTATACAAGGAACGAAGAACATATTCTCGTACTTTGTTTTCTAGATGTTCCGTTATAACTTCTTCCAGTCCCGTGTACAATCGTTCACTATATTTATGAAGAACCATTAAATAAACATTGCGATAAAGTTTTTCAAAATCGAAGCTAAAGTAATTTTTCTTCTGTATCTCTTGGATAGCGCTTTTTAATGAGGCCAAGATACTTTCTACAGACTTCTTATCCATAGGTGTCTGTGAAAAAAGTGTTTATATGTCAATTGATTAAATTGTATTACTGATAAGACTAAATCAACATTTCTATTCATTCCTGTTTACAAAAAACATCATCCCACAGGTGACATGCTTACAACTATATCCTACAAACACAAATACATCTTGAAAACTTCAATATGACCTTCACAAGTTCTAAGAGACTCGTCATGATAGCAAGCAGAGCAGCAGAAAAAGGAAGAGTCAAAAGATGTATATTTTCAAAAGAGTTCTCAGAATCGGTTACACGTCCTTCTCAAAGAACAACTCTAAACTACTGTGACTAAAGGTGCCTATTCATGCTGACGCTCGACGCTCATTTTCAGCGTCAAAACAGATCACGTGACCATACTGTTTGACGCTAGCGTCAAAGAAGTGAAGTTCAATTTATCTTAAGAGTGCTTTCCACCTATCGACACAGGCGACACTTGTGTTACGCAGTGTTCGGGTCTGAGCACAAGCACTGCCGTAACATTTTACGACAACTTAAGTTGTAAACGTAAATAACGCACAAGCTTTGACGTATCGGCGTATGACGTGTTTATGCACGCTATCGAAAAATATGTCAATAATGTACATAAACACGTCATACGCCGATACGCCAAAGCTTGTGCGTTATTTACGTCTGCAACTTAAGTATGTCGTAAAATATTACGGCAGTGCTTGTGCTCAGACCCTTCGGCTTTGAGCGTTCCAGCAACAACCATAGAGATAGTAGTACTAGAGTACGCATTGTAGGAGTGGGGGTAATCCTATCTAGAAAAGGACGCACTCATTTGGGCCTTTTCGTTCTCTCTCGTTTCGCGCATGCGTATAGCCATATACTCTGAGAGAGGGGATCGAAAGAGTTCCGTTGAACCACTCGACCGGTGCGGACGCGTCTCGGTTCGGGTGCTCGTTTTTTGTATATTTTTGAGAAAGTGTTGCCGACTTTGACCGTGCCTCGAATTTCCTTACTGATGTGTGTCCGCGTCTGGCTCGGCTCGTTCGTCCGTCCGGACGCGCGTTAGAGTGGCGTGACGACGTTGCAATCGCAGGCGCCCGGTGTTCGTTCGGGCTTCGCCATTTTTCGCGGGCATTGCATCATTCTTCGTTTACATATTACGACTTTGTTTCGTTTACACATTACGACTTTTGTTACTGGCCTTGACGATTGCCGTTGGATCGGCTACACGGCCAATTATAATCAGCAAGAAGAAGAAGAGGGGATCGAAAGAAAGAACGAGTCGAACGAGAAATGTTTCATCATTACCTGACCGGACAAGCCTGATTGAACCTGATCACTTTGGAATCAAAACAAAGAATTGAGTTTGATAAGGTTAAGGGCTCTTGATGAATAATATCAATAAATATTAATGATAAAAATCTATTACTTATACTTCTATAATTCCAGTTATGCGAGCATATTGGCCAGCACCACCAGATTGTTTCTTATAAAGATAGTCAAATTCACGATTACATTCGTGATTATGGTTTAGTTAAGTCTCGCAGAAAGAAACTTTTGACTTTCCAAGAATGACCGGACAAGCCTGATCTCTTTGGAATCAAACAAAGAATTGACTTTGATAAGGTTAAGGGTTTCCCAGTGCCAAGGGTTAAGGTTGATTTATACTGGCCGTAAACTGTTAACTTATGCCGTAATCTGTAAAAATTGACCAATCACAGTCGAATGAGAGGGGAATAATCGATTATAATTGGTCAATTTTTACAGATTACAGCATAAGTTAACAGATTACGGCCAGTATAATCCAACCTTTACTCTTTCAATTCCTTATTCTTTCTTTCGATCCCCTCTCTCAGAGTATACGGCTATACGCATGCGCGAAACGAGAGAGAACGAAACGGTTTCAAATGAGTGCGTCCTTTTCTAGATAGAATTACCCCCACTCCTCAAATTTCCGACAATGCGTACTCTAGTACTACTATCTCTATGGTTGCAAATGGCGCCCAACCATTAGAATTCATTCCTTTCAGCGGACTCCCTCCCAATTAGGGGTCACGGACTAGGACCATTTACGTTTCATAGAGTTCGAACTCCTTCTCTCTTACTTCGTGGATTTGCGTGGATTCAAGATTCAACCAAGAAGACTAGAACCAGGAGAGTAAACTAGCGTGGTGGAGGTAGGTCAAAAAACGTCCGCGGTTATTCATACAATGCGCATTGCACATTGTATGAAAGTTTGCGCATGCGCGCATCGGTTATAACCAAGAAGGTCTTGTTCTTAACCTTTGTTTTCTCCTCATCCGAGGGACACACTTAAAAAAAAATGTTCTTAAACCATCTTAAACAGAATGTAAGTTGTAAAAAGAAATTATACTGCACATTAAATGCACATGTCAAACAAGGTTTGTTTGACATGCGCAGTCACGAATTGAAAACGACTATCAGAGCGACAGAGAGGACTAATGAAGCGCAAGAGTGGGGAAAGTTATCCACCGTCACTTTTTGGCCTACCCCCTCTACCGATATTTGACCGAGTTTACTCTCCTGGTTCTAGTCTTCTTCAACGCTGGCAACAATTGTGATCCTTTGACGCTGAAAATGAGCGTCGAGCGTCAGCATGAAAAAGCACCTTCGCTCGCTTGCGCGACAATGCGGCGCACCCGTCGACTCGCCGCTATAGTCAAAAAGTGTGTTCGGGAAACGAGGAGCGCGACAAATCGCGAGACGCCATCTCAACCATGGTGTAAGTAGAAAGGTGAACCATTCCGATGGATGCGCAGTAAATTAGAAGTAGTGGGGGCAGTCGCAACCAATCACACTTTGAGCTTTTATGCGAAATCTTCAATATGGCGCAGAATAAAAATCTGAACAGCGCTTCGAAAACGCTTTACACGCGCGCTGCAAAAAAGCTCAAACCCTGATTGGTCAAGATCTCAAATTTCTGCCATTATGCGCAATGGTTCACCTTTCTACTTACACCATGATCTCAATTGCCGCTTAATTCAAATTTCTCTCTTACAATATTGAACCTGCCATGGAATCTGCGCTGTTTAGAAACATTAATACTATCGCTAACCGGAATTGTGCTATGGACAAAAAAGCCTCGCTTTATCCTATATAGAATTTTGATCTGTTTATTCAAATGAATCAAGTGAAAATTATAATCGCATTTCCTTAAATCGCGTATTTTCTATTACATTTCTTGCAAAACATGTTAATAGATTTGTGTTAATTTTCTTCTTCCAGGTTCTTTTTTTTCTATCTGACATTTTTGTATTTTGTAATGAAATATTGTCAAATTATTTATTATATGGATAATAAAGAAACAATATGTAAAGATGTGATAAATATAGAATGTTGTATTTATTACATTTATATTTACTACAAAAAATACAAGTACACAATTTTAGATTACATATTTATATATTATACATATATACAAATTTATAACTATGACTGATACTCATAAAGAATCCTATTCTTTTTAAGAAGCGATTACTGCCTCATCCCAAGGACCATAAATGTTATCTTTATATTTTTGACATCTGATGTACCAGAATGGACAAATGAAATGAATGAATATTACAGCGATAATAAAAACGTAGGAAAATATTTGTGAAACAAACGAAAGCAAATATATGGTACAAATTGTCAGAACGGTTGATATAATAATTTGATTATTTATTTGTGACAGTAGGTAAGGTAATAGTACGAAGCACTGAACTGAAACTGATAATAATGAAAAGGCATGTAATGGTGATGCTAATCTAGAAGCCAACATTAATGAGCCGAAGATTGAAGAAGTTATGGACAAAGAGTCCGAGAGAAAGATATGTGACGACCCATATTTGCTGAATATTAAATGGATCAAGAACATCAATATCGTCATAGCGTAGATTGTATCGGTACTAATCGTTTCCGTCAAGGTTTTCAAAATGGGTGATAATATATATCCAAAGGTTAAAAATATTAATACTGTCCACAGGTCCTTTGTTGATTTTACAGATCGATCTGGTATTTTCATATTGTATGTAAAATATCCAAGAATCGTCAACATGCTTCCTGATATTACGATAACGTTCGGTGTGGTCCACTCGTTGTTCAGCCAAATAAATACCATGACGAAAAGTACGACGACGCTTAATTTCGTGGATATGCTGGCACCCAAGCTTATCGCTTCTAATATCGTCACGTTATTCGGTTTTATATTTTTACGTAATTGCTCTAAGAAGGAACTGTCCGTGTAATTATCCGGTAATCCGTAATTTTCATATAAATTTTTCTGCCATTGTACGTCTTTCATTCTGAGCTAAGTGTATACCTTTAAAAAATGTTTCTATGAGCTTTTGGACAAGTTTGTATATCTATATTGGTCAAAAAAAGTATTTAAAATATAAAAAATTTCATTAGTTAACAGTAATATAAGAATCTCTTATTCATGGACATAATCAGAAGGAACAGAAAGATCTCCCTAAATCTTAAAAAAACAATTAAAATTACTTAAATACTTAATAAGTATTCATAAAAAATTAGTTTTGGAAAAGAAGAGAGAATTGAAGGTGAAAGTTATAGAAAGATCATAAATAAGAATTCAAAGTGTTCTAAATTTAATTTTTTTCAGTTTTAAGAATCAGATTACAATTTTAAGAGAAAAATAAAATAAATTGTAAATATTAAATCTTTTAAAATCATGATATAAATACAACGAACTGGAAATAAATGTCTTAAAGTCAAGCTAAATTTTTAGCTCAAGTAGTTCTGTGTAAATTTATATACTATATCCATTGCAGGATTGGATATGTTTCATTTAGAGCCTCTTTTTTTCCTGATTTATTCTAAATTAGTAAATTAAATGTGACTACGCAAATTATACCTTTCTACCAGTAATTATAATTAAAAATAATATTAAACAAAATAAATAAATCCAATAATCCACATCACTTGATCACTCTCCACCCTGCCTCCCCTTAAGTTCAAGTCACAACTTTAATTTAGCTTGACTTGAACAAAATCCTGACTAAACCCATGTTCTTGTTAGTTATTAATAATATTAAAATTTCTCATTAATTGATAATAATAATTATGTGACTGCTTACCGTTTCTCATGAGGAACCGTTATTAGCTTAGCTATACACAAAATAAACTTTACATTTCCTTGACTTTACCAATGGAAATCCAAATATAATTGTATTTTTTTCAAAATCTCAACTGGGATCATTAAAGTAAGCATTTACTGAAAATTTTTTGACTGTACACATCAGTACACATCACGAAAACGTTTTTTCTTTTGTGATCAGCTGATCGCAACTATAACTATGTGGAGTAAGCAGCCGTGGGTAACTTCTTGTCCATACATACACTCGAGGTGCGCGGCGCAAACGCCGACATGACCGATCGTCGCACTCGCCGGCGCTGCACGTCGCCATCTTTTCCCTCATTTGGGAAACCCGCCCGTCGGAAGGAATTATCATCCTCCGAGATCTTGCGCCCTGGAAAATTTGTCAAGGGAGCTATCCGCGGGAGACGCGCACTGGCGGCGGACTGGGCAAGTTTTGCTGCTTTTAGTGGAATTTATTTTCAAAATGGCTGCTACGAGGAGATTGCAAAAGGTAAATTTGAGGTGGTCGTCGTGAATAGTCTTGCGAATGTCGACAGGGCCGGTCGTGGCGAGCGTCACCGCGCGATCGGCCCTCGGACGCCCTTTCTCACGCGATCGGTCGGTGCCCCCCTGGCGGGAACGGATTCTCGCACGTCAGTGCCCGGTCCTCGCCTTGTCACTGACTCCGAACGAGACCGTCGGTAGTTTCTCTCTCGAATTATCCGTTTGTAATGCCGTCGTTGACTCGGGAAAGCTATCGTCCCGTGTTCAGGGTCTGTCCTGCGTGAGTTATTCTCCCCTTCCCCCCACGGACAGACCCTGTCTAGCTTCGAGACCCGGAGCAACGATGATCCGCGGTGCACTCAACCTGCGACATTTTCCAGGAACTCGGCGACCTCAGGGCGTCAGCGATGAAGAACTTTACAAATATCCAAGTAGACGAGTCCAATATCCTCAACTGGCAGGGTCTGATATTGCCGGTACGTTGACGCATGCCGTCGTCGTCGTATCCTCCGGGGGAACACGTAACCTAAAATACGCGCGCGCGGGTGCAAAGTACACGTCCGCAAGACTCTCGTATAACTCTGCGTGATTCATCTCGGTTCTCTCTCGAGTGTATTCTTATGTTTCTTTCATATTTGACGTAGGAGCGTAACTTACGTTCTTGAGAGAAGATAAAAAAAAAAAGATAAAAAATGTAATTATTCTATGAATACCTAAAATACGTTAACTGGATCAAATGAATTTGCATGCACGTTTGTTACTTAATCGCTTTGATTCGGACACTTTTTGATAAAGATCGATTTGATTTATTTTTATCGTTTGTATGAAAATTATTTTCAACGTGAGTGGAATCATTTGCAAATATTATGGAATATATTTCAATATTCCACAATACACTAGAAATTCCTTTAAACAAATGTATACAAAAATATAAGTATTAAATCGCTTGTATACAAAAATGTATACAAAATTATATACTTGATTAGCGATATGTAAGTACTGATAAGTTTGTTACATGTTGTAAGAATATAATATATAATGTGTGTTAATTATAGGGTATATAATTTGTAGATTGTGATCTCTGTGTACAAGATTGCCCGTTAAATTATTTTTATATTTATTTATTATTGTCGAGCCTTCTCTTAATGTTATTATTATTATATTTTAGTAGAATATTATTAGAAACATTTCTTAAGTGAATATGTATAACATGCTCTTATGGTAGCATTATTTTATATATATATATATGTGTGTGTGTGTATGTGTGTGTGTACATGCGCGCGCGCGCACACACACACACAGAGCTGAACACTGTTATAATTTTTTCAAATACAATAACAGGCCTATTATGTGTTGCTGCACTGGAGTACATACTATTCTGTAACTTTCTATACATGCCTACTGATAGTAATTGGTGTGGTTGTGTTTTGTACAACTTTTTTTACTATATAAATCTGCATAAAATACATAAAGTCAACTATCAACAGGCATGTACAGAAAGTCACAGAATAGTGTCCCAGGATTAAAACTTTCTCGTTTTTATCAAAAAAAAGGAACCTGTTTTTTGTTTAGTTAAAGTTCTTTGTTCATCTTTCTCCTTTTTTTTACGTTACAGAAAAAAAAGAAAAGATGAACTGTACAAAAGTTTTTAAAATAGAACAAATGCTTTATCTATTTTATTTTAATAACAGTTAGTACATAGTTTAGCTACGAAGAACAGACCTAATATGTAATGCATGTTATATTACTACTGGCGATATAAGACGTTTTTTTTTCCATAGGACAATCCACCTTATAACAAAGGAGCATTTCGCATCGAAATCAATTTTCCCGCAGAATACCCCTTTAAACCACCAAGAATAAATTTTAAAACAAAGATATATCATCCAAATGTAGACGAAAAGGGTCAGATATGTTTGCCAATTATAAGCGCGGAAAACTGGAAACCAGCTACAAAAACGGACCAAGGTCAGTTCCTGCATTTCAATTGAAGGTTACTTTATATTTTAGTAATAGCTTAGGGAAACGCTTCTAACATTGAGAAATTGCTGCTACTTATAATTTACAAAATTTATATTTCTAAAATAGGGCAAATGTAAAATTAATATTATATTTGTTTTTTACTTTATATTTTAGTAATAGCTTAGAGAAACGTTTCTAACAATGAGAAATTGCTGTTAATTGTAATTTACAAAATTTATATTTCTAAAATAGGGCAAACGTAAAATTAATATTATATTTATTTTTTGAGAAAAGTAGAAAATGTATAGAATATTTCAATTAAAAATGTGCTATTTACATTTGCAGTGATCCAAGCTTTGATAGCATTAGTGAATGATCCTGAGCCCGAGCATCCTTTAAGAGCGGATTTAGCTGAGGAATTTTTGAAGGATAGAAAAAAGTTTTTAAAAAATGCTGAAGAATTTACAAAAAAGCATGCCGAGAAGAGGCGGGAGTCATCATCTTCTAACGAATAACCCCGAATGATTAGCTTTACTTACCATCACCACCACGATGCCTGCCGCCCATCAGCTGATTTAAACTCAAGCCAATGTATACCTATCTGTTAATCCCCGTGGAATCTCACATAGATTCAAGTCGAGATGACTCTGTACAGTATTGATTAACACCGACGATATGAATATACGCAAATTGTAATGTTTATAAGAAGGGAACTTTTCAGAGTACAGTAAATTATGATAAATAACTGTATCATATTGTATACAATTTATACTTGAAATCATATGCAATTATACTTTGATTTATCATCGAAAGATCGTTACATTCCAGCTTGATCCTGTAGGAATGTATACGATGATGAAAATGGTTCAACATAGAGACGTTTGTCAGATGTAGCAGCGTATGTAATACAGTACGTATTAAAGTACATATAATTTCCAATGTCGTTTAAGATGTTAATTTATAATTGCATTTCGCGCGCGAATTTATAGCTATTGCTTTATAACTGTTACTAATATTAAGACTACAAATAATAAAAGAGGAACAACGTTTGCTTTCAATTTTTTTAATCAATATCTTTAATCTTTAATAAAAATAAAAGAGTAATTTGTATAACAAATTATAATTTTTTCAATTTTTTATAATATGAATGTATAATTTTACATTTTTCACATTGATTAATTTGATATATTAATTTTTTATTATTAACTGCAAATGATTGTAAGTTAATTTTCAATTCTAAATGTAAGATTTAAATTTTCTTCACAGATATCTCTCTGTAGATTTTATTTTATGTCCTGTACAGAACTATAAAGAATTATCTTAGAGTGCTTTAATGTAAAACCTGATATATTTATATACAGCATTGTCTGACATACTTCATTAATGAAAAACGTACGAACCAAAAAGTAAAAATTAAATTCCTTTTCAAATGTCATTAAAAAAACGTACCATTTAAATTAAGTGGACTAACAAGATTACAACATAAATATAATCGAGAGCATTGAAAAAGGGTCTCTAGTCATTTTTTTTTCTTTCCATTTGATTATTACAACTTCCGATTTCCACAGTGGGTTTAAACGGCTAATATTACGTGAAAGTTGTGTGAATATTCTTTTTATATGGCCTGGTAGTATATTTGAATGGGCAAAGAAGTTATAACTTCTACATTTTAAGTGTATATGTAATATAATATATATAAAACATAATATATAATACGAAATTGACAAAAGCTCCAATTGCTGGAAATGTCTTCTTTGTACTATGTGTGCTGTGTTTACCGAATACTTGTATAGAATTAAGAAATATAATATTTCAAGAGAGTAATAAGTTACATATTTTGAAACAACATGCTATGAATTATTTCTCCTATTTAATGTATTCTTAATGAGAATCTCAAAAATGATCTTTATAATTATGCGAAATGATATTCATTTAAATTTCAATCTGCAATTCACATTTATGCAGCAATTTATAGCAACATTTTGAAAAGTATATAAAATGTTACTTTTATATATAAAATTTTACCTTCATGTAAAATTTTACTTTCATATTTTTTAACAGCACATATAGATAAACAATTATTTGTAAAATGCTATAAAGATTGAAATTGCTTTACAAAAAAATTTTTTATTAAAAATTTTGAACATTGTAATGTGTATATATATATATATATATTTTTTTTCAAATTATTTTGTTACTGCAATTATTTAAGAATTGTAAAATCATGTTTTTATTGTTTTTATAACTTTTATCCTGTATTATATTCAAATTTCTTGAGACAATAAAACATATAAACATAACGTTAAACGTTATGATCGTTGATGTATCTCAAAGATGTAAAAATATTAATTAAATACTATTCATTGTATTGGATATTATTACATATGTGAAAGATTTATGCAGCTATTATGCATATGTGTGAATTATATTCTCAAATGATAAATTTACAGTTCTACTGTTAAATCGTATGAATAACATTAGCATTTATTTTTATATTAGTATTGTGAGAATATTAAGCCTATTCTAACGTACTTTGTGTTTTATTTCTTGCATTTGACCTCTTGCTTTTTTTCCTTTTTGTGATCGTTTTATCGACAATTTCCTGCCATATATTTCTTGTTTCTTTTATCTCAAGCGATAGAAAACGAAAACAGGATAAAAGGCAAAAGACAAGATGCAAAAAGCAAGAAACAGGA